TACTTGCAGAATGGTAGTGTCATTGTCATGGGTGACCTGACCACTTCCCTGAGTGGCCAAAGATTCCAAGCATCGATCACAAGAAGATCACAGGAAGATAGAGAAGTTCACCAGTGACCTAAAGCTAGTACCCGTTAATGCCCAGACCAACTACCACATTTCAAGCAAATGCTGGGGCACCTTCTTTGGTAGTGGACTATATCCTCCAATCCAATGACATAGCAAGGAGATCGTAGTACGGGAGACTTCAGTAGCCGAGTTGGGTGATGATAGGTGTTGTGTATGTGAATACGAACTAACACTTATAGCTTGTAACGAGTTATCTCCCTTAGTCTGCACATGTCCATACAGCGTTTCCTGTAATAAACTTGTCTCGTACCTGCCACCCGAGTGTTCGGTTGTGTTGTGATAGCTCTCGCATTTAAACTTACATTTATGTTGGGGCCCGAGCCTGGGGACACTAAAATAGGATGAACAGCCTTCTAAACTTTTTCGTTCATAGCAACCTTTACAAAGTCTACATGTTTTTTTTTTTTTATGATAACCTCTAAACATTTCTGCCAGTTTTTGTCCAGGACATATACAGGATACTTTCAAAGTATGGACCTGAAAGATTTATTATATCTGGTTCATTAATTTATGGCTAAAAAATTATGGAAAAGGAAAGTAAAGGAGACAGGCTATATGAACTAGAAGCGTAGAAGCAAAGGTTAGCTGCAGACCCAGATACACGTCATTTCCTGGACATTCACCAAAACATCACCCCTCACATGGCCTGGAAGGCTTCAAACGTGTCTCCTTCTCTGAAGACTGCTGCCAGATTCGTAGTGAACCTTTGTGCCGCGTGGAGACCTGGAACTGCTTGTGGACGATGTGAGATGTGCGGACAAATGTATGGTGACCTCCTTATCCACCAGATATGTCAGTGTACCAGTTTTGAGGTTTTCAGAAAAAATTTATGGTGCAAAATCATTTGCATCTCACCAATAGAGTGTAGTGCCAAACTACACGACAGAGCAGACTATGACCTGACCACCAGTCTGCTGTCATGTAAGCCTCCCATAGAGATAGACCCTGAGATAATCATGGACTACTCCAAAGTGATCGTCAGAGGACTGTATACCCTGAACATGACCTACAGAGACATGCAACTTAATATCGCGGTTGTCGCAATATCGCATTTGACATATTGTTGCATTTGTCACACTTCAGTGTTTACTGTAATCATCATTTAATGTAACTCCAGAAAATCTTTGAAGGGCATTGAGAAGCGGAATACATAAGAAAAGCAAGATTTATGGATGTCAACACTTCTTTATTGTGAATAACACGACGTTTCGGAGTCTATGCTTGCTCCTTCATCAGGTGAATGGTAGGGAGTATAAGCTGGAAGGACTGACTGATGATGATTCAACACCCAGCATTGAGCTGAAAACAGTTGATGAAAGAAATACGCTGTGCTTTACTGCGTTCCTGTCAAAGGGATATATTCCACTTTTCCTGAGTGACGACTGTAAATTCGCCGATGTAAGTGCTGCGCAATAAGCCTAACATGCAATCTCACAAACAGAATATCGGTCGATCCCAAATGTTGCATGTTCACGCATGAACTTCTGTCGCATGCTGTTGTAAATTTTCTCAAACGGACCAAAACATCCAATGTCCATAGGCTGCAAGACATGTGATGTGTGAGCAGGCAATACAAATAGAATTATGTGTCTCTCCCGTTCCCACTTGATCAATGACAGTGATACATGAGATTCACTAACACTTCCTGTAGTACCAGCAGAACTGCCAGTCAGCAATTCTTCACGCATTCGCTGTCCTTTAAAGACAAAACAGGGCGGTAATGCCATGCCGAGGGCGTTTCCACAGCCTATAACAGTAGTTGTATTTGATCTGGGTGTTGTCACAGCCACGGGGACATCGGTGCGTGATGAAACTACAGGAGGTGGCGAGTGATTCTGTACAATGCCCTTTTCATCAATGTTGTAGATAGACTGAGGCCTATTTTTCAAGTTGTACTTGTGCAATATAGTGTCAAGCTCATCAAAATATTTGCTGAAGGTCTCCTCTGATGTTACTTTGGCTCACATAATGGTTTCTGAGCCTTAAGTTCCAGCTTTCGCTTCAAAAAGCTGTAAAACCATTGGAGAGAGAGGGGGTTTTCATCCTTGGTTTTCTTTCTTAGGCAAACTGCAAGATCCGTAGCCAAAGCTGTAACTTCCGTACGTGTGTAGCTGTATCCTAAGGAAGACATCATCTCAATATGAGTGACCAGTTTCTGCTCTTCTTCCTGAGATAATAAGGCATCGGGTCCCGATCGTATACATTCCAAGTCAACTTTGCCCCAAATCCGATCACGCAATGTAGAAAACGGCACTGAAAATGTTCTAGATGCACTTTTGATACCTTCCCTATTCTCTACTGCCTTGTACGCATTTTCCATTGCCTCGAAGGAATATCGCCTGTAACTGGCCTTTACAGCATTGACAACAGCCTAAAAAGAAATAAACAGCCCTGGTTCCTGGTTTAGATTCACCCAAAACGTCTAGAGAACGAAAATACTGATAGAAGATATTACCCAACTGACCTTCCATAAATTTTATTTTTATCGAGAGTATCACGTGATTGTCATGTGACTTTTTGATAACCGAGAATCCTTCTTAGCAGACAAAACATTGATGACATTTTAGAAGCAAGAATACCCCTATAATTGGTATTATTCAAGTGGTAAGTTTTGCATTTGTGACCCTTGATTAAAATAGTTATGTTTCCAATATTTTTTTAATTACTTACGTTTTGTAACTTGATGTGCAGCATTTTGTCATTGGAGCGAGAGCAGGGACTGCGTTGTTGACAAACACAGCGGTGATGACGTCATATCTCGTAAACTCACATAATAATCGCAATTTAGAATGGCCAAGCAGAAACATATGACGAGCGAAAACATGTGACGGTAGGATATCTAATACTTTCCGAAGCAACAATGAAATAGTTCAGTCAATAACTGGGAAAAGAATGGTACTTAGGTTTAGGATCAACTGGAGCTAAAAATGTTGCGAGTTTGCGCAAGCCTCAAATGCAATAATTATACAATATTCCCCCTAAGATTCGAAAATGTTTGCTTAAAGATCGTAGCACTTGTTAAGTTACACTACTCACAGTCTGCAGATGTTTTAGTGAGATATGAGATATATAATGTTTGAGTAACCCCATAGCACCACCTTTATATAAGTGTGGGAAAATGGGTTTTTCTTAGGGAGTAAATGTTATTTTTCACGCTATTGGGTTTGTTCACACTAGTGGGTTTGTAATTTAGTGGGAAGTTTTATGTAGCAATTCCGGGAGTAAATGATTTCTTCAGAGGTTGCTTGTAGTGCATAACATTCTGCTTTTTACCTTTGTTTGGCTGTAAAATTCCATTGGAATTATTCCTTTCTCAGACAGTTTACATTACGGCATGCGCTTCCATGCCGTGCTCGGATTGCTGTGGCCCGGTGTGTTTTCTGTTCGCATTCCGAGTGCGGTATGGTAGAGCTGTCGTGATTGGTCGGCTGACTCCATTGCGGGCCAATGGGTGTTAAGCTAACGTCTCCCAGGTCAAAGGTTAGCGCACGGGGTATTTAAGGGCCTGCATCGCTCAGAGAAGTGGTTTACTTCAGGATACCCTGACCGTAGTAAGTAGGGAGGTCTTCCTCCTTTCCTATTAGGTATGGGGCGGTGGGGTAGCCTAGTGGTTAAAGCGTTGGCTCGTCACGCCGAAGACCCGGGTTCGATTCCCCACATGGGCACAATGTGTTAAGCCCATTTCTGGTGTCCCCTGCCGTGATATTGCTGGAATATTGCTAAAAGTGGCGTAAAACTAAACTCAGTCCTATTAGGTATTGTGTAGGGGTTTTTTTTCATGTAGAATAGGAGACTGACTAGTGGGTTGGGGGAAATGATAGGTTTAGAGTAGGTTTTTCATTTTGTAGGAATGAATTTGTTAGGGTTTTCCTTTTAGGCTCAATAGATTACTAGGGGTGAGTATGTGAGAGGAAGTCTGGTATTTGTTTTGTTAAGTTTGGTTCCTTTCAATTTTATTAACTAATAAATTGTATTTGTTTGGTGAACTTGAATTATGTTATTTTTCTGCAAGAATCATTAGTCATGACTTGAACTATCACAGAACTTGACAGAACCTAAAAGAAAGGTTATAGAGGTTCCGGTTTCAAGCCAATAAGTTAACATCCACTAAAAAAAATACACAACGCAAAGTCTGCTACTGAAACCGTTCAGAAACATCGAACCTAGAACCTTACTGTCACTGGGTGATTTGCCGCAACGGAGTCGCCTATTACATAAGAAAGAAACAGTAACATGCAGCTCGGGGAACGGTGCTTGAATTCTGTGTATGGATGAATCGATGCACATCGTTATCAGAGAGAATAATATTTGTTACTCAGGATTGCAGCAGCTGAGTGCACTTTTGCCTCATCAGCATCAAAGTCATTATTTGAGGACCAAAGAATTAGGACATTCCACATCATCACATTGTGAACCAATCTCCATGGTCTACAGCAGTGACATGTGTATGCTACAGGGATGAAATTCTCTGTGCATACATGGGAAGCTGGTGCAATCGGATCGGATATGTATGATTTCATCGTGGCAAGTAAGATGCCTAGTAAGAGGAGGAGAGTACCAAGCTGGCAACCAGAACTCATCCCTAACAAACACAGGTGTAGCAAGATGCCCTCTCATGATGCCCTACTGAGAGTTTTCTTTCTTTGTTTCAGACAGTGTATTTGCATTATGATGCTTTGACATTTCAGCAGACACCGTTGGAAAGTTAACATATCTTCAGTATCAATATTGAATTAGCCAATTTGAACAGGTGCACACATTTTGACGTCTTGCCTAAGTGGTGACCTTGGCAAACTTTGAATAACATATATACTGTAACCTTTGAAAAATCTACGCCTGTAAACAGATTATCTTTATAACTACCATTTCAGATGCGGACACTCCAAGGCTAACAGTTTCCATGCCTCAAGTTCAGGAGAATGGCACTGTATACCTGGCCTGTAGTGTGACCAGCAGTCCAACTGCACAGATGACCATCAGGCACATGGACAATGACTCATTTTTACTAACAGAGGAGACAAACAGTGCCAAGTTTGTCATACACAGAGTCCAGTGTTTACAAAATGGGACCTACCAGTGTTCAGCTGATAACTCACAGATTCCGGGGGCAAAGACAACTTCTGCATCATTGGATGTCTTGTGTAAGTGTAATCTTTAAACCATTGTCATTGTTATCTGAGGACATGCTAAAAAAGTGCAGTACTGCATTTAGCAAATGTAACAACAGGACTGGTTATATATACCTTAAAAAGATGAAAAGTAGAATATTCTTAGAATCATGCAAAGATACACGAAGTAAGTTAATGTCACATGTATCCTCTTGTAAATCATTGGCCCACCATACTTACATGTATAACTGCGTATAGCTTGAAAAGGATTACTTAATGAGCTAAAACTCTGCAATGCATTATTACCATATTATCACTGTAATTTGAAGTATACATGATTTGACCTCACCATACTGATAGTCACAAGATCTCAGAGAACACTTCCCGTGGGGAAAATGGCAATACCTTAAAGGTCACATGCAACGTAAAACACAACTTTGCAGATTCTGATACCTTTCGGTATGGACTTACCGAAACAAAGCGTCAAAAATGCAAATTCAACTTATAAAGTTGAAAAATAACGCGATGAAAAAAAACGCGCGAAATCGGAGTTCAAACGATTAACTAATTTTCCCCAGACTTTTCTGGGGAATACGGGTTTCAACAGCTGGGCTGCGCTCATAGCACGTGCGCAGTGAAATAGGTTCGCGCAACTTGGAAGCGGGCTGTCTGGTGAATACTCGGTGAAGGCTTTGGTGTGAGCTATTTTCATAATGTTTTGTTGATATCTCACAGGTGCGAGCTTTTTATAGGTTATGACAGTAAATAAACTGTTTATATAATTTCATTTGTCTATTTCACCACACGTTCTTCTTACCGAGTCACTTTCTCAGTTCGATACTTAAAAGCAATGTCATTATTTAGCGTTGACACAATTTCTAACTGTGATATAGATATGTCGCTGTCACAGACAAAACTCAATGTCTTGTTTTATTGACACCTGTGTGTCTGCCTGCCTGTCTGCTTATGACAATATTCAATACACAACTGCGATCACTGACCACATGCAATTTGAACTTAACACCAATCAGGCTATACACCATAAACAATACGCATTGATTTATGGCCCGAGTTCGGTCTCTGTCACATTATGTAATTACACAGACAGGCAGGTGTGATACTTGAACACATGACATGTTATGATGTCTGTTGATTGCAAAATGTTATACACAAAAAATGAGCATGTATTTACAAAACCCAACATCTCTATATATACACACACAATGAGCCGTGAAGGCGGCATCTGCTAATGAACCAGCCGTTACACTTGAGTGCACACCCACCCGCTCTGACTGGGTTCGGTATCCCGGCTGCTTCGTTTCGAGGGAGGTAAACCCAAGTACAAAATATTGGACTTTTGATTTGCGATTATACTCTTATAATTTTGTTTATTTGTCATGAAGAAGTGATAATTGTGTTTTAATTATGTTTGATTTTTTGGTTGCATGTGACCTTTAAGGTGTACTGATTCATATGAGAACATCAAAAGAAACAATCCTGAAAAAGCCATTTTATGTACTGGAAATGAGAATACAAAAAAACCATCTTAGGTAGCACATGAACATTGACTGTTGCTGGGGAAGAATGGATATATATTCTGTGATACTGTGAATAGGGAAGGTATGAGGAAAGTATCTTTGTGTGACAGTGAAACTGTTTTCACGTGTGGCAGTGGGAAGAAAGTAACTCTTCCTTTTAAGTTAGCAGGTGAACAGTTTATACTGTTTGAAACACTGAAGTGGAACATGTGAGAGGAACCATACAGTTACATCCAGTTAACAGTTTTTTCTCAAATAATCGTAATTAAAACACCCCATTGTAGCATAGGTTGAGGCCCATAACTGTCTGGTTAGGACTTGACTATTTACAGACGATAACCACATAACTGGAATATTGCCAACCAACCAATGAACACTTAAAATATTTTTAAGCCTACACAATACCCTTTTGAATATCAGTTGATAATGTTCGTCTGTGAACCCCATCATGGTGAAACACCTTCTGTCCTACATTGCAGCAGAAAGAGAGAAGAGAAATGTTTCCATATTAACTGTATTATAACATTTATAACCATATGGCACCTAAAACCATAAAATTTAATAATTTGTTTTGAAAGGCTGATTAGAAAAGCGAATTCAAACAGGCCGTACCATCCCATACTACTTGGCAAATAGCCATTTAACTAATGATGTTTGAGAGTGTATGTCAGTACGTTTGTGAGGGCATTTCTTTGCATGTTTGAATCTGTACGGGCTCATGTGGCATTAAAAACAACCTGATTCTGTTAGTCATCTCTTACGACATATCTTCAAAATACACGTTGCCCGTTTGTGGAATCAACCTCATTATGTTGTGAATCACCAGAGGTCGTGACCAGTGAAGATTCTTCAGCAACCCATGCTTGTTGTAAGAGGCGACTAGTCGGATCATGTGGTCAGACTCGCTGGCTTCGTTGACACATGTCATCGTATCCAAGTTGCGTAGATTGATGCTCATGCTGGTGATCACTGGATACCTAGGATCGATTATTTACAGACCGCTGAAATATTGCTGAATGCAGCAGTAAACAATTTAATTTATTAAAGTAATTTTACGACGATGTGGTATTGGCAACAGTGGGTTTACTCATGACTGTCTGCTGAACCAGACGGGGATGGACCTCCCATGGGTGTCTCTTGCGATGAAGTGTTCACCATCAAGCATATACTTCTTGACTGTGTCGACTTATCGACTGCAAGGGATTCACATTATGTGGCAACAAATCTTAAAGATCTGTTTTCCTGTATGAGCGTGCATCTCACTGTTAACTACAGAGCTCCAGATAAGAAGTAGCTCATGTGGGTACTGTACCCACTGTATTTTCTTGGAGTGGGTACTATAAATGTTGAGTGGGTATTTCATTTACATTTTCTGTTACCCACTGCTTTCAAATATGTGCGTATGTCAGTCACTTTACTCACCTAAGTATTATTACCACAATCTGAGAGTATTACAGGCCTTTTCATGGGCCCAAGACATCATACTAACAGTGCATGCTTTTGAATTTAGTGCTATGATATTTTCTGGGGTTTTTTAATAACAATGTAATGAATATATATGCTTTTATAATAATACTCGTTTGGACTTGAAATGTTTACTAAGAGACTTGATCTCGTCACTATATGGCTAAAATAATGCCGATGTGAAGTAAAATAATGTTATGTCATATGTTTGATGTTGTGAGTTGGATTAGGTTTGGTTGTATTTTGTTGTATTTGTTATGATTGTTAAGACTGGATTGTACACGATTATAAGTATATATGGGTGAGGTTTTCAAATTTTGCCAATTCGAAGAAAGACTGGTCCCGTGACATAGTATATACATTATTATCCATTACAATATATACTGAGTCAAAAAAGAAACTTCACATTCTTTCTTCAGGGCACTTTAAAAGAACAAGAGATGGTAAGATGGATAAATTGTCATTATTTCATTGCTGAGATCTGTGTGATGTTCTCGATACACTGACAGTGCCATAATCAGTTCCATTAGGCTACACCGCCGTTCAAAAACATGGGTATACAGAATGTCAAGTCACAAGAATAAAACGTGCTCTATTGGATTAAGGTCAGGGGACCTCGATGGCCACTCCATGACGTTGATTCCAGCGTTTTGAAGGAAATTTCGTGTCAACATCGCGGTATGCGGCCGAGCATTATCATGCTGGAACTGTAGACCTGGGCCATGAGCCGCCATGAAAGGAACGAGTTCAGGGGTGAGCACCTGGTTGCGGTAAGCAGCAGCTGTGAGGTTTCCACGGATGACCAGAAGTTGGGAACGGTTGTTCCCACAGGTTGTTCCAGACACTATGCCTGCCGTCTGCGAATCTGAGGGTAAACCTGGATTCATGGCTAAAGACGACTTGATTCCAGTCTCTCTGGGTCCATCGGAGGTGACGTTGGGCCCACAGCAGACGTTGACGTTGATGAAACGGTGTCAATATTGGCCCATGATATGGACATTGAGAATGGAGATTTGGGGCCCGCAACCGATTTCGAATGGTCTGTGAGGACAGTCGACCTCTAAACATCACAGCCCTGGTTCGTGTAGCCGGCAGGAATCTGTCACGTAGGTGACGTGGGACGATTTGACGACCCGACCTTGGGCGATCAGAAGTGGTGCCAGTTTGTTGTAGACGACCTCGCAAGTCATACACAGTACGACGGCTGCATCCCATTGCTCTTGCGACGTCAATAACTGATCTTCCTGCTTGCAACATGCCAACGGCACATTCAAGTTGCACATTTGACAATCGTGGCATTTCAAGTACTGTTAGAACTGTGGTTTAAAAGTGTTTTTTCAATTCTTGAGGCCAATGCAAACACGTGCATATGAAGAAAACTTCCATGCGAAGATCACGTGATCGCCTGCACGTGCAAAACCTGATTTGGCACTAACGTCATTTGCACGACGAATGGATGGGTTTGAGTGGGTTTTGCTCACGTTTTTCTAGAGTCGAAAGATAGGGATCCCATTTCGGATACATAGATGTATCATCAGAGAAAAATTATTCATTATTTTTCAAATTACATTTTGTGAAGTTTCTTTTTTGACTCAGTACAAAATATATTCATCAAGCTATTGTCAGAGCCAAGTTAATGTAAAACAGCAAATACTCATGGCAGGACAAGCATATACATGCATACACATATCATACACATGATCATGTAACACATATGCACATTCACATAATATCTTTAGTGATTTCGGGGTAAATGATATCCCCTTAGCTTGAGGAATTGACACACAAAAATATATGGATTGATGAACATTCCTTATATACAAATACACATGTACATACACATACATATACAGGCACACATGCACGCGCACACACACACACACCGCTATATAAGCTGAATGTATGTTGAGATATAATCTTATAGATAGGCACGACAGGCATGGATAACTAAGTTGGCCATGATGTTTTCAATTTACTCCAAGTTAAATTAATATCAAATGGGTACATTTAGTTCGTGTGTCTGGTGTGGTAGAGTCAAGTGTCAATACTGGCCCAATGAGTCAGGGATGGGTACAGGCACTCTCCTCCAGGCAGTGTTCGGTTCATCTGGTTGTTTGACTTCCAGCACTAAATCTATACCTTTTTCTCTCACTCGTGTATAGAGACCCTTTTCCTTTCTTAGTCCATAGGCACTTCAGGACAGCTCTTATTCTTCTCATTGAGGTTGGTAAGTCGGTTTGTATATTTTTCTCCGTGCCGTAGGACACTTTCTTAGCTCGAAACACATAGTTCCTGTCTTTCATAGGGGACGAAGGCTGCTATCATTGTTGGAGGTCGAGTGTCTTTGTCTTGATATCTTCTTCCTTAACTGGATTTGTTTGGCTTGGCCTTCAGGGAGTTTTAAATCCTTTGTCATGAACTCAAGTAGTACTTCTTCAGAGTCCTCTGGTTTTGCGTCGGATTCGGGTATGCCATTAAAGAGGAAGTCGCATGATTTTCCTATCATGCAATTCCTTTGCGATGACTTCTCGTTTCAGTAACCCGTATTGGAAATTTATGTCTGCTCTAAGAGTTGTTAAGTTTTCTTTGATGGTGCTGATATCCTCGACGTTTGTCTCAATGAGAATCTCATTCTCATCAACTCTGTGTTTGATGTTTGCAACGTCTATTTCGATTTTGTCAATGGCCGCTTGTAGTTTAGTGTCTATAGAGTCCATTTTAGCTGATAAGAATAAGTTCTTTAATGTCATCTAGGTTTGTAGCTGCTGAGCGTGTAGTGCTTGCCGGGCCTTCTCTTTGCTTATGCGATGACGGTGTTCACAGTTTTCGTGTGTGGTGGGTCGTGTGTTCGGTGTGATGACACAGCTATGTTTCTGTGCAATATTTGAGGTTTATAACCTGTTCGCAAGGGTCTTGTAAAAGGTTCTGCTTGTAATTACAGTCAAATCCCGATGAGTCGAATACCGGTGTCTCGAACATTATGCATAACTCGAAGTACCTGTCAGTCCCGACCATTCCCTGTTATAGTTGTCATCATTTGAATACCAGTTACACAAATTCGTCTATAAATACACACGATGACACGAGAAGAAAATTTGGTCCCATGAGATTCAAACAACAGCAATCTTGTATAGATAAGCCGAAGTCAGTCAATGAGAAGTTGATTGGTGTAGCAAACTGATCCAATTAACAAACCAGCGCGGCTCACACCTTTCCGCCTTTGACGGGTGAGTTCAAAAGGCAGATTAGTGATTTTACGGAAATCACTGTCTGTGCTAATCAGACTGGAACTGATAAGGTGCCCCTATTAGTGATAGGGAAATTATTAGATAAACAAATGCTTAGGCGGAGGAATTTGGACTGGATCATCTTTTTTTCTACCCTCATAGATATACCTATGTCTCGAATACATCGATAAGTCGAATTTATCACTTGGTCCCCAGAGATTCGACTCATCGGGATTTGACTGTACCTCAGTACTACATGCTGTGAGTGGGCTTGGTTGGGTTTTTCACATCACTTCTCTCTCTCTCACTTAGACACGTTTACCCAACATGGTAGACCGGAAATGCCGGTTTTAGCTGCATGACGTTGCCTTGAATAACATTCCTCATCTCAGTGAGGGCAGATAATATGTCAACTTTCATACTATCAAGGGCTACTTGAGCCACTGGACCAGGGTTATGGTAAGGTCACTACAACTCAATATCTCTTTACACCGAGCTTCCCCTCATGGTGCATTGCAGCTGGTCGTTTTTCTGTGTGGTGAACATTACCGAGGAGACATGCAACGACCAAAAGGCTCACCATTCTGTAGACATACTCAGTTGTAGAACATTGTTCGTTTTGATGTTGGTCTTGACTAACCCTGTCAGCTATGGTGAAATCCCTATATTTAGTGTTCTTTACATGGTAATTTATTAATATTTTCAGGTTACCCAAGAAGAGACTTTCGCAAAAAGTTTCGTTCCAACAGTAACATGTGAAATCAATGAAACTTCATATATGGTTTCTCATGTGATCGCAAATCCTCTGCCGAACATCACCTGGTGGAGATCCAATGAGGGCCAGCTGGAGCCTATCAGGGCATCAACTGTACACACTGTGTCCAGCACAGACCTACAGTCAACACTCAAGATCACTGTTACACATGCCAGGGACTACGGGAAGTATGCTGTAAGGGTGAAAAATTCAGTTGGAGAGAGCACCATTGTCTACTCACTGTTGCCGATTTGTAAGCTATGATCAATTCTTTTGTATACACATGATAATAGTTAATGACTGTAAATATCTGCAACCATGGTATAAAGATTTGGCTCGGACATGTTTTTAACATTATACCAGATCTCTTCTTTACATGTCAATGAAAATCATTTAATAAACACTATGCAAGTATGTTCATATCTAGTCATGGTCTACTGACCCATAGGTGTCAGCTATTATAATTTAGCATATGCAGTGCTTTCAAAGTACTGGTGAGTTTTAATCACAAAGGTGCTAATCATAGCATGTGACAAAATGATATGCCGTCATAGACTGTTCAAAGTGTCACAATGGCAAACTCTTTCACTACCTTTCTCCAAATACTTAATTTACAGCAGCCCCGCTTGCCCCAGACGAGTTCAGATTTAATGAAATTGGGTACACAAACGTGATTCTTCAATGGAATTCCAACTACAATGGAGGTTCTCTACAAACATTCCTGGTTGATTATAGAGCCGCTGAAGGTGACAGCAACTGGGATATATGGAGGACAGGGATACCAGATCCAGGAATACACAGGGCTGTGTTAAGCAACGTTACGGGATTGAAATCAAAGACAAATTATCAGTTTCAAGTTTATGCAAGAAATATTTATGGCACCAGTGAAAAAAGTTACCAGGACAGCAACAACTGATGGTGAATGTATGTGTCATTTTCCAAACTGAAACAAGCACTTAGCTCAGAACTGTTTCTGTAAAAGAACTGCAGCTGTTTGATTTCATTTGAGACCGATGAATTGCAAAACCAAATTTTGCACTGTCACATGAAATTGACAGCCCAACTCCGATGACTTGTCTCATAATTTTGGACACCCGAATGAAAAAAGTTGTTTAGCGAACGATCATTATCTTGTTGTCACTTTTCGTTATTTCTTACGAGGGGGAATCACTTGCTGGTAGAACAGCCAGGTAATCAACATGCGAGTGCAGTTCAATTTCTATGTCAACTCGAACACCTGGCGGTTCTACCAGCAAGTGGTCCCCCTCGTAAGAAATAACATCACATTACATCATATAACAATGCTTGGATCTAAGAATGAATTCAATTAGTGATGAAAGTGAAATGCTTTCCTTTCAGTTCTAGCTGATGGACAGCTAACAGAAGACCGATTTGAAAAAGGAATTGGGATAGGAATTGGGATAGGAATTGGGATAGCTCTTCCCATAGTGATACTACTTTCCATTCTTCTTGTAATTATGTCTCGGCGAAATCGAGGCAAAGGAGAAAAAGGTATGTCAAGGTCACCATCACCACAATACTTCGACCATTTTTCAAACACTTGTTAACGCGATATCTTATGCACTGTTGTACCCAGTGTCTTCAAATTTGGTGTCAGCCTGCATTGGGGTATTATGCAGACACCAGTTGATTTGTGTAACCATAACCTTATTTTCAAGGTCACCATGACACTTTGACCACTTTTCAAACTTATGTCAGCGTGATATCTCATAAAACGTTGCACCCAATGTCTTCATTTATGTCGACAACCTACACTGGGTGATTATGCAGACACCAGTCATTAAAAGGTTGTAATGTTTTTGAAGATTTAGACATAGTTTACAGTCACCTGTTTTGAATATATTACATAGTTAAGATATTGAAAAACTCGAAGCCTCAGAGCTGAAGCATATATTGGGTTTCTTACAAATTTCAAGTGAGGAATTAACATAACAGGTATCAGGGTAGGGTAGGGTAGGGTAATAGGGTATGGGTTACCCGTCCCAGCCTTAATACCTGTGTTAGGTTTTGACAAAGGATCATTTTCTTTTCAGTGCCTGGTACACAAACCGAGTAAGTAGTTTCATAATAAATATGTGCTTTTTAAAAGTATTTCTTAAATAATTCAAATGACTTGCATTTCGTTAGTAAAGCTGCTTTGTGTCTTTGCTCCTCCACCTCTGAGAACCATGCGCTTCTTAAAGATTTTAGAGACTTCATATCTCATATACCTTCCATATTCACTTGAGAATAAGATAGATCAAGCCTGAGCAACATCAAGTGGACATCAAAACGGCTTGTGTACAAGATAACTTAAGCAAGTATAATTGGAATTTGATGCTGTCTAAAGGATAATTTTGACTGTTTCAACATCAGAAATTTCAGTTACAAAACATGGCCTCCAACATCAAGAAATGTTTGATTTATTCATTGGATCGTATCAAATGTTGATGCCACTTTCACGGGTATTTGATTTTTATTCACAAAGTTTTGTGTCAGGGGAACTGGTTTCAGATGCAGTGAAGTCGGAATAGATAACGATGCAACTCTTTTTAGTTACTCTTTCTCCCATTCTGGGTAATTTGGATATGATGGGAATGGATAGCTTCAAAGTCTTAATGTTGAAAGAGTGAGTTTAGTTTTACACCGCACTGAGCAATATTCCAGCTATGTGGTGGTGGTCTGTAAATAATCGAGTCTGGACCAGACAATCCAGTGATCAACAGCAGCAGCATCGATCTGCGCAATTGGGAACCGATGACATGTGTCAACCAAGTCAGCGAGTCTGACCACCCAATCTTGTTAGTCGCCTCTTACGACAAGTACGGGTTACTGAAGGCACATTCTAACCCGGACCTTCACGGGTTAATGTTGAAAGAGTGTGCAAGATTTGATATATCTTGAATCTTGCAAGTGTTACTGCCAATTGGTATATAACAAGTACATCGAACATACTGTAAACGTATTATATTTCGCGCAGGTTTTATTTTCATGCTTTTCGCGCAAAACATTTTAGCGCGAATATTTATACACCGCGAATAAACCTGTCATTCATTCAGTCTAGCCACGCTCGCCCCTGAGTTGTTACCATAACACATCAAGTTTGAAGACAGAAATCTACGGGAATCTTAAAATGACGACTGATAGTAGCATAAAGAATCATACTTAACTGTCGCTGTAATGGATTTCCCAAAACATAATTAAATAATGAACCAAATCCCATCGCCGAATTAGCGAAAACAGCAATGTGTGTTGTGGCCGCCATGGAAATTGGTCACATGACAGATGGTTTGATACAAAACAGATTACCATGAAACGACTCTGAAAGAAATAATACAGCAGTATTTCATTTATTCATTAAGATTTTATTTACAAGTACATCATGAAGCGAATAGTCACTTAACACTCAATCATCTCATTCACAACAACCCGGCTTGTTTGAAATCACAAAGAGCTTCATATACAGTAGAAGTTAATTCGTCAGATCGTCAGAATTCGGAACATAAGACTGATGTGTTTTTCATCTCTTCCGTGAGTAAACGGATTACTGTGTACTAGTATATCGCACAGATAGGGATTTCCTGTGAGTAAGCAATAAACGCCGCCTGACAGGTTAAGCCACTCTGTTTGTTTTCACTGCTATTAGTGGCGGCCAAAGAGACAGCTGGCAGTTCCGGCAATTACTGATTGCGCGAATAATTGACCGCGCGATGTAGTCTAAACTGTCAATTCCGCGAAAATTCTAAAACATTACACAGCCACGTTGTTTTCAATAAATTAGGATGCAGATAGTAAATTCTTTACGTTTGTTGAGTTATATGCAAAGACCCTGTGAAATGGCGTGAGACGAGTTTTTACATTGAAGTGTCGAAGTGAAGGTGTTAATTATTTGTTTATATCAGGAAAGCCTGCCATTATATAACATCCCAGAGTACATTCCTCAAGCTACCCTTGTAAAGCTTATGAGGTTTCCCCAGGCTATCGCTTGAGGATATAACACATGCAGATAGTGTCTGTTGGACTACAAGCAATAAAGACAAACTCCTTCGACTTTAACTTGATTCAAATATCTGCAAAATTGTTGATGCGGTGTAAAGTAATACTCACTCACTGGACTTTAAATTTATTCAAGCTGAACCAGTTTCATACAAAAGGCAATTATGGGTTAGAGGTAGTATTCTAAGACTTATCATCATTGTATGTAGTGTGAAATAGCAACTGGAAATAACGTCACAATGAAAATTTCACACTTAGGAAATGGAATCCAACTTAACATACACGTTCTCTAACGTAGGGTGTACTTTCAGATGTACTTACCTATGTTCTTTTAATGTCTGTTGCAGGCACACACAGTCAGTTCCATGTAAGTTGTTTGAAGAAACTCAGTCACCATGTGCCATCCTTTGTCGTTTCAACAATATGCGTCATTTACATTTGCCATTTGTAAATTGGAATTGTTAAGTTTTATTCATGTGTCTCACCTTAAGATGCTGGTTCACCAGTATATGTCAAACACCTGTAAATTCTTACCTTTGCAAATGAAAACAGTGGTCTAAGCAAATACAAGTGGGCAATGTTTTTGTATTTGCTCAGCAACATTTGCTAACAGAAATATTATTTTTGTATCAGATGAGGCCACTGAACCAAGGACCTACTCCTCTCTCAATCAGCAAATATCTGAGAACAACGAATATGAAAGAATTCAACTGGAAACATGTGGCAGAGCATTTACCACTGGTGCGTACAAGTGCTTTCTCGTCATCAGTGCCTTGTATAGTGGTGAATGATGAAAAAATTAGTCAGATTATCGACCTCAGAGGAGAATGATTATTACTAGTATGAAAATATGAGGGCCAAGTGAGAGCACAAAAGAATGAAAACGTAATTTGTAGCAGTTGCATGTAATGTTGTTGTGTTTTATAACAATAATCTGCCAATGTTTTAATATGTGTCCAGTGTACAAGAATTGTTATATTTTAGAACCATTTTTGTAAAAGCTCTCTAAGAATTTGGTAGGGACTATTCTGAATGATGTTTCTCCAAACTGGACATTGAAGGTGCATACAAACTGCTTTTATTAATGAAGAAAATGAGAGCAGTATCAATCAGCTGTTCTGACAAGTCATTACCAGTTGCATTTAACCTAACCTCGTGTTGTATCTTTTAGATAGTGTAATACAGAAATACCTTTTCTCCTGAAAAATATTTAAGGCACTTGTTACTTTAATCCCCAAAAATAAAAATGTGCAAATTAAATACAACATGTCTTTTTATGATTGTTGGCTATTTCTATCAGCATCTAGACAAAGATGGATATGTTCAGAAACTATTTGGTCGATATGCAGAAACACACTGATGATAGAAATAAGTTCTAATAACTGTCAATCTGGATTGAAAAACATGTTATCCAAATGGTATAATCATAAGAAAAACACCACCTTGTAACACAACTTTTGCATTTGGTTTTGAAAAATGACGTTTCTTTTGCAGCTCAGTATATATCTATAAGCATTATTATTTGCGATTCACATTTATTAAATGTTCTTGTATTTCAGAAAGTGAACATCCATATCGGAACATGACAGTACCATACCAAAAGTGACCTAGGACATGATTGACAGTGTCAAATTTGTTTGAAATTGGAACCAAAGATATACTGACATTTAGCCCTAACGAACTAACGTCTCTCCGGTTTTAAATATACAGAGAGATGTCAGCTGCAACAAACAAGTGTTTTACTATAAAGAGATTCATGTTTGCAAAAGGCATAATAATTACAATTTCAAATTCAGTAAAAATGCTTGACATCAGTGCAAGAATCGGTATGTCCTTGAAAGAATGTTTGTCCTTGGTATTTATGCTGAAAACAATATGACTGTTTAACTGAACATCAGAGAATATCCTACACAATATTTCCATTTACCTTTGATATGTCTACAAAGTAATATTTCCTTGAGTATTCTTTCGTTTCTTGTCTTATGGAGTCAATTTCTACTTAAAACAGAATTGAAATTAAAAACATTTAGAGAATAAATTGAAATCCATAAGCATTGAATAAACAGATGTGCTGAAATCCATTAGATAAATTCATCTTCACAACAGTTTTGAAATGATTTTATGTTTCTATTATATATTCTAGATACTCTTATATGCATGCTATGTTTGTGATTCTTAAAGTGGCACCAATAAACAGAATGTGGAATAGTTCATATGGTTCTCACTCTGTTTTTTTAAAATTACTGTAACTAAAAGGAGCATTTGTTAAGGTGTCTGTTATAGTCTTGTTAATTATGTATGTGTATGAGAACACTCCCAATTTACACACTGGTATATCAGCACTTTACAAATAGACAAATAGGAAAATAGTATGCCCACCACTGTTAAATTAATGAGGCAAACCAGTATTGTAACTTAGAAAACAGACGTTCTTGGTTTGAATAAATCATTCTTACGCTGAGTGTGGCAGTGGCTGAAGTTGACCTTTCTAGGTGCGGCCCGAGCTTGTCCAGAGGGCTGGCATACTAGGATTTTGTGCCCATACAGCCTCTGGCCACTTGGTGGTGTTGCAATTTCATTTGAAATGGCATATTTGCTTAAATGTGAAGTTACCTAATTAAGTACAACTGAATCAATACTTGCTATGAGTGTGCTTTTATACCACTTTGAACAGTGTTTCAATAACGTCTCTGTTTGTTCAATTCAGTCATATTTCCAACAATGAACCGAAAGTGACGTCATCAACCGGAAATGACGTCAGAAAATATGGGGAATGACGTTAGAATAACCGAATTGAACTAAATCTATCAGAAGAGAAAGGGGATCTCTAATTCACATCATTCCTCACAGGATTCATCCTTATCTCACCAGGAAATCCCTTCTAGGTGGTGGTATTATAGCAAATAAGGCGTAAACATTCCCTCTGGATTATGGTTACCTAATTCTGTAGCTTCCACAAACACATACAGAATGAAGTGAAATTTTTAACACGAAGTCATAGCTATCCCTAGTGGTATGCCCTTCAAACTGGCAGAGTTACCTCCCCCTGACCTAGACGTCACTGTTAAGTAGTTTGAAAATCCTCACAAATTTTCTGTATGGTATACACTGTACACGTATATAGAGTGGAGTGAAAATTTGATTTCCATCAGCTTGATTTCTACACTGATTCATCCCTGTATAGGTTAGTGTTGTCGACATTAGTCCTTTGGACATCGAATTTGACATTATTATTACGTCTATACTTGCTTTATATTTTCCCGCCTTTTTCCTTTTGTCTAACTTTAGCTATGGCTAAGAGTAAGTGCGTGCAATGTCAAAAGTTTATGCCGGATTTAGACCCCCATTCTCTCTGCATTTCTTGTTTTACTGGTAATCCTTGTACTTTGCCTTTTGTGTTCAGAATTATCAGAAGTTGAGTGGTTAAATATGGAATCTGCAAGATCTCAGACTAGGAAACGTAAGAGCTCCCCGTCATCGTAGGCTAGCAAAAGTAAAAAATCTGCTTCGGGGTCCCCGCCATCTTTACAGAGATCTGAATCAAAATCCAAATCTAGATCTAGATCTAAGTCGGATGCATCTCATTTGGACATTTCTGCAATCTCGGATTTATTTGCATCGTTTAAATCAGAGTTGAAGGCCTCAGTTAGTCAGCCTATGTATGATATGGAGATGAGGAATGAGGCCAAGATAAATTCATAACAAAAACTGTTTCATGATGGCATTATGTACTGCAAGACGACCGGTGGTCGCACTGACTGGGTTGACGATGGCAAGAGCCGAGGGCAAGAGTCAGTTTCTGTGAAACTCGGGGGTGCTCTACCTGGGAAAGCCGGGTATCACCTTATGACAGGATCAGAAAGCCGTTCCCCACAGGGGGAGAAGCCAGGGGCTTCATGTGACGGGGACGGGGTCAACCTGGCTGACCCCAGGTGGGCTTTAATTGTGGTCCAGGCAAAACAAGCCGTGACACTTGTCCCTGGGAGTAAGGTGGTCACGTTTGATCCCAGTGACTAAAATTCTGCTACCTTATCCCACGCGGGGAATGTGCTGCAGTTATATCTTAGAGGGACTGACTCCATGCCCTCGGCTCGCTTCTCCCACCTTGGCTTTAATCAAAGAGCCACGGCTGCCACGGGGGTTAGCGGTATCCAGGACCAGCAGTCCAGTAGCCACGTGCCGTGGATTTCAACGGGAGCCATGGATCATTTTGACACTGATAAGCCACCGATGTTACCGCTTGTACCGGACCTCTCGGATTTGGAAGCTAATTCTGTTTATCCTCTCTCTCAACCAGAATTTGTTATGAGGGAGTTAATGTTTAACGTCACATCGGCAATATCTCAGCCATATCGTGACGAGGAATTTGTTATGAAGGGGGGGTTATTGACAGTCCAGCTTATGGATACTTCAGCCGAAGATTTTGTTCCTGGATGGTCACTTAGGGAAAAGGTGGAATTAATCCATGGACTTTATCCTAGCACAGTCCCGCCACAGCCAGAGGAGCCGGAACGGGAGTTACCAGTGGAACTGGGATCGTCGGGATGTCTGCCACCGGAAAGGGTTCCCAAGCTATCTCTTCCTCATTCATCGGCACTTAAGTCGGCGCTGGACTCTTACAATTTGAACCTCTCCAAGGCGACTTCACTAAATGTGCTACCCAAGATTGTTCAAAAGCAAGTGTATGCTATTCACAATAGACTGATTCCACTTTATGCTCCACACATGGACAAGGATTTTGCCCAGCTTCAGGGCGCTAGAGCTGCCAGGGATCCTCTATTTCCTGTTCATCCAGGGATCTCAAGGACATGGATGGGGCCGCTCGTTCATCCTTGGACATACTATCCTATACCAACTGGTTTGCTGCGGGAGTCCGGGCATTATTACCACCTTTATTCCAAGATTATGAAGGAGTAAATAAGGACACTTTGGAATCCATGTCAGCCAAAGAAGTAGCCATGGTGCACTCTTTTTTGGATGTGCTATACCAATCTATAGCCGACGCAACTCACAATCAGCTGTGTACTCTTTGACGTCTAACAGCCATGGAGAGACTTAATAAGTTAGATTCAGTGAGAAGTCTACCAGAGACAGCTAAAGACGAATTATTTCAACAACCCCTGGACTCAGAATCTCTTTTCAGTGGACAATGTGGTCAGGCTATTCAAGCTAAGGATGCCATTACATGACGTAATCTGAACCAGAGACTGGTTTCAGCTCTACTTTCACAAAACAGGAATAAACCTTAGTCCAGGCCTAGGAGTGATTCATCTGCTACTATTTCCCGCCAACCTACTCACAGACGTCAGGAGCCACTACAACGTTCAGCATTTGATAGGGCAGGAGACTCTAGGTCGCGTAATACCTCCTCGTCGACATCATCAGCTACTCGTGGCTATGCCTCCTCTAGGGGCAGGGGTAGTGGCACCAGTTTTTTTCATGGCGCCAGAGTGGGAGCTAGGAAGTTTTGACTCCAATCAAACAATCCAGTTTACTCAGCCTTACGATTTGGAAATGTCCCTCGACTTGGAAACGGACTTCGAATTCATTCTACCGGTATCCCAATCTCCTATAGGGGGTCTGCTAGCACAATATGTGGAGAATTGGAGACAGATCACCTCGGACAGCTGGATTTTATCATTCATAGAGAAAGGTTCCATGCTACCATGGGAGAACCTACCTCGAGTAACCTACCAGCCGGTAGGGAGACGTTTTTTCTTGCAAGGGGATCGTCTAGCGGGAGCAGTAACAGCCATTCAACAACTGTTAGACAAGCGGGCCATAGTGGAGATTCCGCCGTCAGACCAGTCATGAGGGTTCTCCTCCCCGGTATTTCTAGTTCCCAAGAAAGACACGGAGGAGATGAGGATGATTATAGACTTGAAAGTGTTAAACAAGGAATATTTAAAGAAACCTCCCAAATTCATGATGGAATCCCTGGCCAATTTGAGAACACTTATTCAACAAAATTCCAAATTCATCAGCATATACCTGAAGGATGCTTATCTTCATGTACCAATACATCCTCGTTGTCAGAAGTACCTTCACATTGGGTAAACGGACGGAGGTTATAGTTCTGTGTTCTACATTTCGGAATTTCTCTAGCTCCTTGGCTATTTACGGTGATCATCAATCCCATACTAGCGTTCCTACATCATTGTCAGATAGCTATCTACAGGTACTTGGACGATTTCCTGGCAAGGAATATAATTACTCAGACTCTTTTAAAACAAACCAAGTTTATACATCTAGGTCTTATTGTACACCCGGTCAAGTCAGAACTAGTCCCCACATCAAAGATAAAATATCTGGGAGCCATCCTGGATGCCAAGACTTCACGAATATTTACGCCTCAGGATCGTTGGTACAAGATCCGGACCAAGATTTTCAATCTGTTAGCAAGCAAGACCATATCGATTCGGACATGGATGTCTCTACTGGGATCTCTTACATCCAGGATTTCACGATGAGGGGCAGGATTCATCTTCGCGAACCGCAAATATGGATCAATGGGTTCAGGGATCTGGACTTAGAAACTATGGTATCCCCTCCCTTCATGATTTGTCAGGAATTTTTGTGGTGGACGGTGGACAGCAACGTGC